TCAATTATAAGCATTCTGCATAAATTATCGTGTTCACAACACTGTGTATTACGTGTAGACTAATTTAATTTGTAATTCGTTCTCATTTCTAATATAAAATAGAAACAAACTATAGGATAATTTAATATATTCATTAAATTTACCTAAAATGTGCTGGTCGTATCTGTTCGACCGTTAAATATTGATCAATATTGAAAAACAAATTACTTTGCAGTACCGTTGTACTTATTGAAAAACAAATTACTTTGCAGTACGGTTTTACCCATCCGAATCTGAATATCGTAGTTTAAGTTAAACAAAAGGACAAATGGAAACTGTGAATGTATAATACATTATCACTAAAAACTAGGGAGAGGTTCGTGACAGGTAAATACATTTTTATTTTATTTGCTACGGATTAATTGCTGCCCGTACGAACAAATGTAATGGACTTCAAAAAATGCGATGTAGCAAGCATTTCACTGCAATTACAAGTAATTAAAACAGCCAATTAGACGTAATTACTCTCATCAAATAACGTTTCCTTTTGAAGATTTATATGTCCAAAACGTGAATCTATGCAAGTACGTACGCAAAGAAAGATGAAATACCGTTCAGAAAGGGCTTGTCTGTGTGAACGTAGCCTACAGCTGTACCATGACTTACTCGCGGTAGGTACGTTCCTAGAAAATACCCCGTAATCAAAATGTTTTCTCCACAGAATCAATGCCAAAATGGGGTTTATATTCTTGAACACATGTCAGTGGTAAACGTAATTAACTCTAAACTATTTCCTAAATCTAAAGCTTTCCGAAGACGATATGTTACTATGTGCATTATCCATCGTCTTGGATTTATTCGGACACGTTTCGGAAATTGAATCTGTTTCCGTCTTCAGGTATATAAAAGCTCCTTTAAAGGAGCCCAGCTGAGTATAAATCCTCTCTCCCCCTCACCTCACCTGAAGATAGATATAGTAGTTTCTGAAACGTTGTGTCTGAATAAAACCAAGACATGGACGTCAATAATAATATGTTTATTTTAATCTTCTAGGGTCATTTAAATAAGCACTGTAAAACATAATAGGCCAAGGTACAAAATAATTAATTTAGGTAAATATATATATCATTAACATACGATAATGTCAGCTCACTTATAATTTTTTATTTTGTTTTAATTAAAGCATTAAAAATGGCGGTTTCTCGTCAGTCTAAGAAAGCAATGAGCCTACTTATTAAACTGTACAAGAATTAATTATTCTATTATGTGGATAGTCCATTATAATTAATGATATTTAGTATACGTCAAGACAGTACATCGAAGATAGCCAAAACGGGATTACTCGGATAGTTTCCGCGACGTAAGTAACCACTGACCTAGGGACAACATGGCGTGTCAATGTTGATTGATTGACGGTGCAGTTATGTATCAATTTGAAGTGAAAACAAGTATTAGAGATCCGGCAGACTGATTGTACAACGTCAAGAGATAGACGAAACAAGACCTGTGCACTGCTTATGACTCAAGCACGTATGCACATAATAAAAAGAATGCAGTGCTAAATTGCTATCAGGGAATTTGGTTGGTTGTTTCAGTTGCGTTCAGAGGGAAGAGTGTTTTCTCGTCACGTCCAGATCAGCTCTGGAGCCCACCCAGCTTCCAGTACGGCGGACACAAGACGGGCGGAGGAGGAAACGAACAGGAAATATGTAAATTCTACGTGTATCTCATTTTGTACCTGCCCTACCATTGTAGACTGACTTTCACTTATGAACACAAACTTAAGGAGAGAAAGTTCGAGAATAACGAAAATAGCAGCATATGGCAAAAACGAGGCTCAAGTTCGTATGTCAACACGAGATCAGAAAGAAATGCTACCATAAAGTCCACATATCTTACAAATATGTTGTTCGTTATTGTGCATAACTCGTCGGCCTTGCATTTTGGTACAATATCCGCTTTAACCCACACAGCCTCCTATCCAACAGGTACCGGGATCCTTCTTCGGAGTTGAGCGACTGAGACCTAAAGGTAAACAGCTTCATCTAGTGCGGACGATAAGAATGTGTGGAAATATTTCCACTCCACAATACTTGTTGTGATGCTTAATCACGCACCATGGACAACTTTAATTTCTATTTTAATAATATATTTTTTTAAAAGAAAGTCACACTACATAATTATAAATTATTTGTTCACGGATATCGTTATACATCCACCATACTTAATGTTTAAAACAAATGTGTTTATTCTGGTGGTGTCAATATATTACGCCATTTATCGTTTATACAATGAAAGGTTCTTCAAGTAATTAACTGGGCAGATACAAATCATAACTAAATATACCCGATTCATTTATTGCAGACCTCCCCCCCCCTCAAACACAAAACCAAACTAATTACGTACAACTCACAGGTGCAAAACCTTTTTCCTGAAGGTAAGTCTCTTAATTGTTTAAAAAATTACACACATTTTACGGAAACTATAAGTTTATAAAATTGTCACATAAGCCCACCACTGGACCGAGATGAATACTAAAACTTTATAGGGGCAGCATTTCTCAGCTCTATCATACGTTCTACAACAAAACCAAATTTAGGGCCTGATCAAAATCCTTTCAGTATTTTAGATTATTAAACATTCCGATACACGGATAAATACGACATCTCAATTATGTATCTACTCCGCGTACTTCATGAAAAAAAATCAGCATTATTCTTCTTCTTTACACCCTTCTTGCTCCTACGTGGAGTATAGGGGCCTCTTTTGGAGGTGGTGGCCTCCTTGGACGAGTTATCAGCCTGTTGCAAGGCTTCTACCTGTACACAGGACAGGACGACACGGAAAGATGCAGACAAACCCTATCGCAGATGCCCTAAATGGGATTCGAAACCACGGTCCCAGTGTCCAAGTGCACGAGGCCCACGCCTCAGATCTCTCGGCAACTGTGACTGGCGCACTCCAGCAAGGAAAGGATAAATTAATTAGTACGTTTCTTAAACCCGTGAACGTTTTCGGTCCGATGTCTGTGACATGAATGATGGAATGCCAATACCGTAATATCAGAGAAGAGTTCCAGTTACTCTGGGTCCTCTTCAGAATTGTTATCTTTTATTTATTTTGTTTAAAACTATGTATGACGTCCAAGCAATTCATGTCAATGACCACACACAGTCTTGCCGGATTCCGGCGTGTAAAACACAGCGCAATGTGCAAGAATGCGACATGCAGCGAGCAACTGGTGGATCAGGGCAGGGCAGAAGCAATGTTAAAATGTCACCTGTCAGGCCAGCCGATACTGGCAATGTGCAACTTCACTTCGTCCCGGTAGCTAGTTTTTCTGGCAGGAACCAAAACATACCCATGCCTCGCTGCTCTTCAGCTGAATAATTATTTATTAATTAGCCTATTTAAACATGAAACCCATCTGTATAATATTTAAACAGCAATGCCCGTCGAAAAGCAACGAGAAACCAAAATATGATTTTCTTCGATGCACTGTCAAGAAATTTTCTGTTGATTAAAAAAAAATCAAAATATTTTCAGCTTTTTCTCTCGAGAATCGCGACCCTCCTACAAAATGATTAACGGGTTTCATATGCTTAAAAAATTTCCAAAATCCGCATAACTCATGCAAAAATGTTCGTAAAATCATCCAAAATTAGCTAAGAATCACATAAATTTAAAAATTGTCAATGTCCGAAATAAGTAACTTTAATACGAGTCGATCAAATGTTGCTCAGCGTAGACTGAATACGCCGACTGGACGATAGAGGTTCGAACCCCGACGGGGGCAATAGATTCTTCCCTCACCTTCTGTCTGCAGACCGGATGTGGGGACCCGTGACCCTTCTATACATTGGTCAAAGTGTAATATAAAATAAGCAAACTATTAACACTATAAAAAACACGCTAGTGCCATACGCATTTCAACCTTAAGAGGTCATGCCACTGATGACCTCTTGAGGTTGAAACGCGTATGGCACTAGCGTGTTTTTTATAGTGTTAATAGTGTGTTTATTTTATATGCTGTTCTATCAGTTATAATTATTTATTGTCAGGTCTTTTTCCATTGTTTTTAAAAATTCACGACCAGAACCAGCCTCCGAAACGTCGCGAATTTTTAAAAACAGACGGTGGAAAAAGTCCTGACAATAAATAATTGTAAATGTGAACTACCGTCGTCAGAACCCTTTAGAATTGTGCTATCAGTGTTCATATATTTTGATATGCGTAGATTATTGGTAAGATCAGTCACTTCGGGAAGAAATACAAGGATCTGCTTGTCCGGTTATACAATCTATATTGTGCACTTTGGGTGCCAGCGGAATGCAGTGGCAAAAGAGAAAAATTCTACCCTTGCCAGAAATCATAATAGCATTTCAGTTATATTCATACTGGCCACTCGCAGCAGTGATCCTATAATACAACTACAGTAATTGCATGAAACAGTCTTGTGCTGAAATATTTTAATCTTAGTAGATGAAAAATGTAATACTTACAAACTCCATGAAACATCTCTTCTCTGTAAGCTGATAATCACTGAGCTGTTAAGACATTACATCTTCCCCAGTGTTCATTATTGTGTACACAAAATCCACTACTCAACCCATCCTGAGCCAGTTAAATGCAGTCCACACCTTCACAGATTATTTCTTAAAAGCCAATTTAATATTATCCTCCCAGCTACTTCTAGGACTCCCTAGTGATATCTTTAATTCAGGTTTTGTGGAAAATTTTGCATATACTTCTTTAAAATTAAACACAACGTAAATAATTTATAGGTCGTCGCTTGTGCTAATTAAAAGATATAGTGGCCACAATACACTCAACTGCAGGTTAACCAAAGTTACATGGTTATATTACACAACCAGGCACTTTTGTTTCCATTCCTATAAGGAGTGATGACACGGCATGCTTGGCCTTGCCAAATTCTGTAAACAGTTTTCAAACTTATGCACATATTCATGACCATGATCTTCAGATCAGTAAATGTCTTTGTAAATGACCTTCAACATGAATTAAATATTTGCTGATTTGTTATCTTCAGCTGCCAAAAACCATAACAAATTGATTTATTATTGTAATAGTTTGACTTACTTACTGCAGTTATAACAAATTAATTTTTATCACTTAATGGAGACAGTTTCATCACACAAAATGAGTAAGGAGCCGAGAGGAAGGGCTACAGAAGTGAAATTCTCTTTGACAACACGGATACAAAGGGACTTTAAGGAAGTCACATGATGAGAAAATAAAATATTTTATACTTTAATTTAGAATAATAATAAGACGTCTGGATTATTGGAAAGGTCTAAAGGGATAAGAATCTTTGTTCTGTCAACAATTTGCTATACAAAATGAACATTACACAGTAAACACAGAAACCAACAATACTACAACATGTTGTGAAGATCAGTCTCTTGCATATTTTTTTACTTTAGCAATTTTATAAACATATGAAAGTTAAAAACGTAAACCACAAGACAACATTTAGACAAATATGCCATTCAAAATGTGAAGTAGATCATGTAAACAATTTTGATATATATCACTGGATTTACTCAAGACAATTCCTCCTCATAAGTCTTAAATTCACAGAAAATAAAATTTATTAGTTTGAATGATAAGTCAGAATTTTTTCTTTCACTAAATATTGTTCTGAAGTAAAATACAAACTGCCTACTTCTAATAGCGACAAATGGGACCAGAATACTTTTGTAAATCAATCAGCACTCACTTTCCCCTTGCTTTTGTTTCACTGTAATGTTGTCACAAACAGAAAACATAAACCAAGACAGCTCTAAACAGCACCACCATCTGCAGCTAAAACCACCAAATGCTTTCTACTACTGGTGACAAACTTGTTCATGATTATAAGAGGAACAACACCAAGCAAAATGGTGCTTAAGAAACAGAAGCCTGGACTTATCTCTAATGGCATAACCCCCATACCAAATTTTATGAATATCTGATCAGTCCTTCCCAAGTTATTTTCTGGTAGAACACGTAATTTGTAGGACCACTAATAGATGGCAGCACAATTTCAGATGTAAAATGTAACAGACAGACATAAAAACAGAATAGACTCATATGTTGTTCCTTGCATATGACTGATCAAACAGAACACCAAAAATGTCAAGGATAAATACAAAGTTTGTATTGTATTTATGTGTGCATAAACTATGTTCACATTTGTTCTTCATGTTTTGTTATGTTCTTCAGCTCATGGAATAATTTAACAGATTAACAACATTTTACAGAATAGTAACAGATGACAGAATGAAACACTAATAAAATATTAAGATAAAAGATTAATATTTCAAAAAATCAGTTTATAACAAAAATAAATATAAAAATACAGAGGAAACAACAGTTTAATAAATGAACAGCACAGACTGATGAGATAACAAAACAATGCAGAACAAGATAACATTATGACTATTGTTAAAAGTCTAGAAACATATTAGAACTTTATGAGAAACAATAGTCCAGTGCTTTTATGGGAGATAAAAAGAAATCACAGTGACATTGTCCAGTATTCCACATTTCTGTTTCCCCTGTTTCTTAATCTGCAAACCTTGTGGTTTCTCAATACTGCTTATCAACTGATAATTTCAGCCTCCATTTTCAGCACCACAGAATAAAATACTATACCAGGCACTACACATATCATGCCCAACCAGGTCTTCCAAGTCACTATTTATGACAGGCTCAAATTCTAAGTTAAATAAAAGACAGTCTTCTGATGCCCTTCCTTTCACACTACCAATTCAAGACTACAACAGGTATAGAACCAATGTTATCTTCCAAGAAAGGTAGATGTCAATATGTGGTCATGGCAAGGAGTGAGCAAACAGTATGTTTTAAGATTTTTTAAATAACCATGAAAATGTGGGAAAAGGTAATGCTGAACTTCATGTATTAATGCTGCTACTGTAAATTTCTTAATTATTTTAGCAACAGATTTTTATGCCTTTGGGAGCATTCTGCATATCACAACATACTGAAATGGTAAAAACTCTTTTATTCCTGACCAAGAGTTCTCAACCTATTCCAGCCACATTCAACATTTCTTACTGACTCCTTGGTTATACGGTAAGTGAAGAGAAATGGCAATTTATTAATATGCAACTAACTTACTAGAAAAATAAGTTCATATATTACTCAATAATTCCGTTTAACAAAGTAAGAGATATCCGACACTAATTTTGCTCGAGTGTCCTTGATTGTTCTTCACTAAGCTGAACAACAGTCTGCCAAATGCTGACATAAACAAGACATCTTTTCAGGTACCTATTCTTTACCAATTTTACAGAAAAGCATGTAAGCAACACAACATGTACCAAGATCTTAGAACCTCTGTTCTAGACCAATCAAAATTCATGAAAATCTGTTACATTCCTACACAAATCCTCTGCACTACCTTTCTGTGACTTCAACCCTAAAGGAAGAAACAGTAAGTTCTTCTGAAACATTAGTAACTGTTACCACATTTCTAATTAACTTTACTTTTGTGAATTATACGGAAATTACATTGGTGGGACATGTAGAATACATGGGAAGATGAAAAATGTATAGAATGTTTCGATGGAAAACCTGAAGAGAAGAGAAAAATACCACTTTGGAGACAAAGATGAGAGGACAATATTAAAGTGGATGTGGGTTGGAATTAACTGGCTCAGGAAAGTGTCTGGCAATGAACACTGGTAACACTTACATTACATGGTCACAACCCACAAGACCATAATCTGAATGGTAACAAACCTTCAGATTCCATAATAATCAGGATACTTCTTGACCAGCTGAGTGACTGTCAGCTTCACAAGGAGGATTCTGCTCCATAGAGTAAGTAGCTAAGGTTTACAAGAAAGGTTACTGTATAACATATGAACATATGGGTAGAAAAAAAAGGTAGAAAAATGCTGTTCTATAAATTATGGAAGTTAAAACGTTGACTCTATGATTTGCAAATGGTATATAAATCAGACCATAGTTACATTAATATACTTCTGCACTTTTTAGAAGCAATAGAATTTTTATAGTCTTCAAGTGTGTGCCACATAACCCTGCCACAACAGAGACGACAAATATTTAGAGGAAGAAGTGCAAATCATTCGATGTGACTGAACATGATTCAAACAAGTTTTACCTAAATCTAATAATGTGGTGGCCAAAGCTGACTAAACTGGAACAGGATATTTGTTATTAACATTCATTAACATGTATTTGGCCAGAGAAAAGATTTTCATGTGTGTCTGTAGACCAGGAACATATTTTTCCTTTAGACTTTAAACTTAAAACAAACTTATAAATGTTCATGAACAGTTTGATATTTAAACTATTCATATATCCCTGTATTTTAATAATGTAATGACCTTAGTTTCCTTATATTTCAGCTTTAAAAGTGCTTGAGTTTCTGCTATATGAGAAAGTACTAGAGAATTTGTCTACTCTTTGATCTAAGCCCCCCTCTACCTGACTGACACAAATTTAATACACAGAATACTGTTGCATTATTACTTATATTCATAGCTGCAGAAAATGCAGAAATTATAAAGAGTTTGACAAACTGTCACATGTACTAGTTATACAGGTTGACAACCCTGGCATAAAAATGGCAGCAGTTACATAAATATTACAATCTATGGAATAAATGTATTGAAAATAATAAATAATATATATAAGTAACAAAAATATAAACTGCTCCATGTACTTACAATGACCGCCACAGCTTTTGTTACAAGATTTCTAAGTCACAATGACGGATTTCTGGGTGATTTTTCTGCAATGTAACAAATAAAAAACATCATATAATGTGATATATGCACAAAAGATTAACAATTTGTGACTCTATAGCAATGATTTTCAACATTCAGTCCACTACACTATTTATCATTTGTACAAGTCAACCAATGAAAATGTAGTACAAAATTACTAGACCCCACATAAGCATGAACTGTGGGCGAAGAAAAAAAATATTTAAAACAGAAAATAGGAAAAGCTGTTATGTTCAAGAGAAATTAACTACTTGGAAAACAAAAAATATTATGAGAAACGTATATATCTATACATTTCATGTAGCACTGTTATGACAAATAAACCAAAGATGTTAAGGTGAGATGGATATGGAGAAAATAAGAAATTATTACAAAATATCAGAAAATAAATTTTGTAAAAACAAGTCATTTGAAAAGCAAAAGCAAACACAGGAGAAAAATATGTCTGAGATTTGAGTTTGTCATGGCAGCAAAGACATCGATTATTGTGGTCTTGAAGGTGGTTATCAACGTTTCAGATAAATGTATAATCTCAATCTTAAATGTCCAACCCTACATAAGACTAGATGGTATCACAATGCATAACACCACAGACATGAGAGAACAATATAAAATCCCACTAATATATAAAGCTTGCTGTAATGCAAACAGGAAAGCAAAAATAAAGATAAGAGTCAATGCTAGCTTCAGTAATGTTATGATAAATGTTTGGGTTCCCCTGGGAATTAGTTTACTTACTCGAAGCTTCATTTCAATCCTGTCAATCTCTGCTCCCATCATGTCCACAATGTTCTCCCCATGTTTCAACATGAAGGCCTCCAATTCATCAATGTTTTTCATTTTCTGTACTTCCTGTAATATATAAGACGCGCCACATAAAACATGAGATTTTCATGGCAGTAAAAATTACATATGAGTCACTCCAAAAGCAATGCCCCACATTTTTGTAAGAAATCAACATTTATTCTACAGCATTGCTATTTATACATTTTATAGGTACATCCTTTAGGAGATAAATCCTATTTTTCCACACAATTACCTCCACTATCAACTGTTTTTTTCCACCTCCGAAAAAGAGCTTGTATACCCGCCTTGTAAAACACAGGGCCTGCATTCCCCAAGCACTGCACAGTAAGTCTTGGATATCGGGATGTCCACTTTTACCAGACAATCGCTTAGCCCAACGACCAACTGTGCTGCGATCGACAGCATCATCCCCATACACCTTCTGTAATCGCTTTTGGAAGTTTCCCACTTTCTCGTTCTCACAAACCAAGAATTCAATTTCAGCACGTTACTTCTAACTGATTTCAAGTACAGCCGCCATTTTGAATGTATGGTATAACCGCCACTAGCGGGAAGTGATTGAACTAAACACGAAAAGAAGCGGGAAGAACATAACCCTATAAACTTTGAAAAAAATTCAAAGCTGTGGAGTAAAAAGTTTTTATTAAAATGCGGAGCATTACTTTTGGAGTGACCCTCGTAAACCTGAACTCTTCAAGTTGCGAAGAGAAATGAAGGTTATTTAAACTTCATTATTCATACCAATAAGACTTTTACATTTTTCCATATGAGATAATTTACCCCTTAAGGTCCAGACCTCATTGATTTTGAGAAGACCGGTGAAAAAAAACACGTCCTACAACATGTCAACATTTAAAACTCATTACTCACAACTTTTTGAAAACAAAGATATACATTACTACAGAAATATAACTTACATAAAAACTAGCATGAAAAATGGTAATCAGTATTTCAAAGAATTCTTGCACTGAAATTCTGTCTATGTAACTTGCATATTTTAACCCTTTACAATATAATTTAAATTCACTGCACCCTGACCTGTTAATTTTAATTTCCTTTGTACACTAAATCTTACTATATCGACCCTTTAAAGCCCAATGGTAATTAAATAAACCACTTGCTTTAATTGGCAACTACAGATTTTACCCACAGTGTATATAAGAGTTCTGTATGATTCACACAATAAACAGTGACATTAAAGAAGATCTTTGTAATGGTGAAGTGCAGTTTTCTTTGTGGTAAGAACTTGAATTTTAAATGTTATTCCGATAAGCTTCAGCTTCAAGGCGTTAAGCATGGCAGTACACATTTAATTCCACAATATTCTATTGCATTAGGTACAGTACAGGACTGAACAGTAGGTATAAGATTTAAATATGATGAAGTAGTTCAAACATCACACATCAAGAAACATGAGTTCCTACCTCCAGAAGTATATTCAAATCCTGCTTATCAAGGTAGCTTCTGCTGAGTTCTCGACCATCAAAGTCCAGTTCAGCTTTATACCGCACAAGTGAGTTCCCCATGTCAATACCCTTAACATCGTGGATTGCTCGAATCATCACATCAGATTCTAGCTGTGAGTTGATGTTATCAAGCCTCTCTTGTGGAATGGACCTGCACAGTAAAGCATAAAGCCATATACTACACTGCAGTTATGTTTGACACCATGCACTATCTGATGTATATTTAACCTTTTCACATGCAAGATTACATTATTTGTGTGTGAAGCATGGATGCTCTCCTGGGTACAGCTCAACTACTATGTACACATGTTTAAAAAATTTCCTGCACCACTCCTACTATACACACAAAAATGCACCGAAAACAGAACCATCTATCAGCTACATATAGTGAACCAAAAGTTGTCTGTAATACTTGAAAACAGAATGCAGTGTTTTACCAGAAACCTATGGGTCAGCTGCCTAGTTATTAAAGACCTTCAAAACATTCAAACTCATACTCTAATATCCATCTCACCTGCCAACAAGAGCTGCAACATTTGTATAAATTAGAAAAGAGGCAACACCACCCAGAATGCCTCCCACCAACACTGAACCTATTGCATCAGGAATCGCACTTCCATAATGCACTGTTAGGCCCATACAAACTCCTGCCACGCCAACACCTATCACTGCAGCCAGGTCTTCCATCAGCACTACATTCACACTAGGGTCCTGGCCTCGTAGAACTGAAACCAGGAAAAACCGTAATGACTCAACACGAGCCAAAGATGAATTCTTATTTGTAGCTTATATATTTTACAAAGACTCATACAGAGATATACTACTTCTAGCAATATACCATATTCTGTGAAAGTCATCTTGTTTTGCCGTGCTCCTTTCCGGATTGAGTTCACAGCCACCAGGAGAGTTGCTCCTTCAGAAACCAATGATCCTCCCAAAATAAAGAATGCCTGAAATGAGACATATTTTACACACTATGACATTTCATTCTAATCCTAATAGATTTCAGCAAATCATCAGATCAGTGCTATGAAACTCTGCACCCAGAAGTATTACCCAGTAAAATGATTCTGTTGGCATGGGACTGAGAAGACCTGTCACACCATGGTAGATAGACAGCCCAGTTCCAACACAGAAAATCCCTACACCTGAAATAAGGGATGCCACGTACTTCATGTTACTGTAGCCATATGGATGGTCCGGGTCAGCTTGCTGCAATTATACATAACAGAAAATAAACTTTAAACAAGGAAATTTGAAAGAATACATAAATACAATCTCAAAATAATGGCAGTTTCAATCATGAATGGTATACAGGTAATGATCTGAAAAGAGCTGATCATGGACTATTTCAAGATGTTCATGTAGAAAACTATCAGGCAGGATAGCCAATAACCAGGCCATGTTTGAACCAAGTACCTCTTCACTGAAAGTCAAAATACCATACCAAATATCAAAACTAATATTTAGTGGTACTGATATTCTGCTCTAATAATACTGCGCATTTTCTTTTATAAACTTTACATATTATTAAATAATAACTTACCTGAACAGATTTATGTATGCCATACGCTAGAATCAGTTGATTTATGGTGTCAGCAAGTGAATGTATACTCTCAGCAAACATACTGTGTGATCCTGTATACAACCAGGCAAATAGCTTGAACAGGAAATTGCTTCCATTACTGCAAATAACACAAATCAAACTTTATACATAAACAAACAAGTATTTAAAAGCATCCTTAATCTCTATTAATAAATGTGAAAAACTGGAGTAATTTTGATTCAATATATGCAGAGAAGTTTTTCACAGGGTTTACAATTTAAAACAAAATTAATATAGTCATTCTAAAAAGCATGAATTTACATTGCAATGGCAGTCAGCACAACTCTTCCTGATGCTCCCAGAAGACCAGACTCTGCTGAGAGATCTGCTCTGTACCCTTGCTCTCGTCTAAAATCTCTCAACCGTCTCTTCACTGTAAATACATCTGTTTTGTGGAAAAAAATATCAATATTAGATCGATAATTAACATGACACAATGCCTTGTTCTTCTAAATAAAGTGAAGGTACAGAACAAAAAAATTCCTTGTACATATTTTTAAATGCATAAAACGTGATTTAACATAATTTATGCTATGAACAAGGAATACAGAAGGTAAGACTCGATGCATTGTAGAACTTGGCACTTGATGGATAACAATGGAGTTTCATGTTCTGGCCACTTCATCCATAGGGAGCTATTTCTCCCCGCCATCCAAATCCGCTCACACTGCGATTTAGAGCAGGGCTACTGAGTTGAAAAACATTTTGCTAGATGGCAGAACACTCCATTGAGGCATGACAGAAATAGTGTGCACATATGAGCTTAGCCCCCTTAGAGGTCAACGACATGGAAAAGAAATGAAGATGACTACAATGACAAATCAAATCAAATTGTCCTAATTACATCTTGACTCAACATTGCCAGAAAATAATAAAACTTTATTTATATGCACTCATGTCACATTTATTATGGTTATTACTATTATTATTATTATTACAAAAATATCAAAAATTCTCATGTACGATTAAGACATTATCTTGAAATCAATCTCTCAAATCAATTACAACAGAAGCATTATTATACGAATGTGAAAGCAATGCAGTGGTGCCAAATATCTCATGACTCAAGCCAAATTAAGTTGTGACTGAGTTGTTAGCACTCCTGTTTCATATTTGGCTTGGGTTGTCTGTGGTTTTACTCAGTCAATGCATGAAAATTCATGGATAGTATCTTAAAATAGGCAATGACTTTCCTTCATTAGCATTCTACTTCAGCATTCACAATGATTCACCCATTATAATAACCTATGCATTTCATAAAGGATCATTAAATGGACTAAGAAACAACATACCATTCTCCTTATTTCCTGGTTCAACTGTGGACACAAGAGAGAGAAAAAAAAAGAAATACTATACAACCCACTACAGCAAAGTGGATGCTGGTAAATACAGATGGTGTAATATAGAGTATCTTACTATTCAAATAATAAAATAATATATCCACAATCAAAATTCTGTGTGAATTCATTGTCTCCCCCATCCAAGCTAAAGGTCCAGCCCATCACAGACTTCTGGATTTTACTGTCCTAACATTAGGTGATCTGGATTGACAAGAAATTATGCAGAGGCAGTGGGCTTGTCACTCACTACTTAAATGCACTCTTCAAGACTAATAAAGGTCAATAGTAGTAGTTGATGATGTTGATATTCTGATCTTACATTTTTTTGGAAAGCAGTTAAGAAAAAGAAAAGTTTATGAACTGAATTATAACAGAAATTTCCAGAACACATCCTTCTACTTTCATCATAAAGTTCATTTCTGCTTGTTATTGTTGTTCACAGATACATAAATAGATTGAAACATTCTCATATTATTTACAATATTGGAAAGTGTGAAATACACATATAACACAAAAATATGAAACACAAGAAAACACAAATCAGCAACTCAACTGAAAAAAATATAAAAAAATTGCAAAACAAATAAAATTTACTGGCAAAAAAATATTCCATGTACAATCAAAATTATAGGAAATTTAAGAATATGTTTAAACTAGTCTCTATTGGCATAACTGCCATACCAAATGTCACGAAGATATGAAAAGCCATTCTTGAGTTATTATATGGCAACAAAATGGCAGCATGTTTCTTACAGCTGAGTACAAAGAACACCTCGAAAGGCTCACTCACATGTCCCATGTAATGGCAGAAAGAAGTATGTAATTAACTAGAATAAATGTTCATAAATTACTTCTAAACATATATAATTAGACAAACAAGTTGCGATCAAATTTATTTTCAGATCCTTACGGACATATTTTATATTCAAATATCCTAAAAACTCTTGCAAACTACTTAAAATTCTGATAGAACAGAGCAAAGTTTAATAAAACCTTATTGGGCGATCAGCCACGTCAAATGGTAAAAGACGAAAGTGACGTTTCAGATGGGGACAGAGATGGTCCCTGGAACGTCGGTTTCGTCTTTTAACCATTTGATGCAGCTGATCACCTGAGAAGATTTTATCGAGTTATGTCGCCACAAAAACTTCAAATCATATAATGCAAAGTTTCAATACAGGGGAGTAATTAATCACTCACTTTGTTGGTAAGTTTTCCTCCTGGCATCACTGATGTGGAGTTCATTCAGCAACTTTTCATGAGATCCCCACACCTCTATAGCCCTGAGAACAAATGCAGAGGTAGTACTTTTCAGCAACAAAATATTTACCTTCAAAACTTAAATTAATACAAGAGCAGTTTTGTCTTATTGTTCAATCAGCTGATTACTGGCTGTTTTGTTAGTTATAAAGACTTTTTATAATTAACTGTAGAATTACTTACTTCGATTCAACATCTTTCCTCCAATACACTGTTATAGGTGGCTCATTCTCATAGGGCGATCGTCTTTTAGTTTTACGAAGTCCTTCTAGGTCGCTGGGTTTCAGGAGAAAGTCTGTCATTGCCCTGAGAGGTGTGATGAAATTGCGTTCCATTGAAGAAGCAGTAAGGTCCACTCGAACACGCTTCTTGCCTGGCATTATGAAAAGATCGTGAAAGAAAAACAATGATGCATTCAGATATCACATAATCTAGAATATCAGTGATAAAATTATTACAAAGAATATGAGGATATCAAATATTTTGCATCCAAACTTTATCTTCAAACAGTGCCTAGAAATTTGAGGTTCTCATGGCAATAAAAATGACTATGTTAGGTAGATACCACCATTTTGGATGGACAGTAACATCTCCACCTTCAGGACTTCTGCCCTAAAGACAGTAGCATTTAAATGCCAACTGCACATAGCAAAATTCAACAATATACATTTTTTGTTGTTGTAGTGTGAAAGATTTCATAATTTAGGCAGCCATCATAAATTCACAAACAAGATGAGAATGAATCAGCTTGCTGTACTGCCAAGTGTAGCAGGTTTTGGTTAATAACTTATGGCACCTAAAAAAAATTTTAATGGCAACTAAACTTTCAATGACAGTGGCCACTAAATCTTTAGTAATTGGTTAGTTCTATCTCACTTGTCTATACTGGTATAATGGTACCTTTACTGACTACTTCCTTCAGCATGTTGGTTTTTGCACTTTGCTGCTCTGCCGGTGTCATGAGGCTTTTCTTCTCAATGACTACAACTTGTGCTGATTCCTTATCAGTTACTGGTTTCTTTTCCACAGAAGACACTTCAGTTCCAACATCTAAAGACTTCTTTTCTATCCATTTTCTTTCACTTTTCTCATCTTCCACAATCTGTGCCACTTTATCAGCTGGTGGTTTAATATTATCTGTGCTAAGTAATCGTGACCACATGACAATCTTTGCCCGCAGGTAGGACTGATGGTCATAACATAGGCCATCATGTCTTTCAACCATCAAACTGCTTTCATTGATGTGTCGTACTAAACCACATAGCTGTCGTTTTGAACACCCTGTAATAGAACAGTGACAGTAATATAAAAAAACTGTCCAAATGGAACAAAATAATAAAAAACATTTTTCCAGTAAGCCTAATCTGTCTTGTAATGCAATTTATTTTGTTAGTGGTCTATGTAAGTCCAAGAATTTTCTTAAAAATTAAGTCCATACTATATATAGATATGTCTTTTAATCTTGTAAAGGGCTCCAAACAATAAAGTTGTGAGAGCATTTCCAATATTTCTGCCATGAAATGAATCCTAAGAATCTTGGACTAAATGTAACCTATATGAACCAAACAAAGTCATTTTCACTACAACCCAAAGGTCCAAAACTGGTAGTACAAGGGATCAATGTTGGCCATATTCCAAATAAGATGAGTACAATCTACATCATTATAATCAATTCCCCAATTCCCTAAGATAAATTTTAACATTATATCTACATCTCAGTTTTGGTCTTCAAAGCGGCACTCCAGCCATAATAACCTCCCGTGGTAAAATCACTGCATTATATTAAAATTATTTAGCTCTCAGAAGAAGGTTTTATAATCCTTATTTTCCACAGTCTATCATACAACTTCTTTTGTTTCTTGTACAAAGCAAAGATTTTAGAAAGTCTGGAGCCAATTACATAACATCTTTTCCAGCCAATGTGTTAATAATTTATGTCCATATTTATGTTCCTACCAGACAATATAATACCAAAGTAAAGTAAAGTAAAGAAAATGTTTGCGGTTATACCTAGTCCTAAACAAATCCCAAAGTATCATGTCATCATGGTGCCCAAAATTTTCATTATAGCTCCTGAATTTTCTGCATATTATATACATATATATTGTGGCTCCTAGTTTTTGGAGGTGACTCCTAAATTTAAAGGAAATCTCTGAAGACCTGGTTATATTTAAATAAAATTTATGCATGTAAAATTTCCATACTACAGAAGAATCATAGGAAAATCTCCAGACCTTAACAGCCTTTAAGGCAGTAGTAACCACATATGTTAGCAATTTGGATTTCTTAATCATACTGACCAGATCCCACTCGAATAACACATATGTGAGACATGGACTGTTTAGCTGCATTCTGGTACAGTAACTTGATCAGCATGTATGACCTAGGCAACATCACAGCACAGGGCTGAGGGAACTGACCTATAGTGAAGAAAACTCTATTATAGTTTAGTTATTCATTCAAATAATTACCATATTTTCCAGTCTGTAAGACAAATAACAGTTTAGGAAACAAACCTATAAGAAAGACCTTCAGGGCAACTTTAAAGAAAAATAAAGCATGTCCTATAAAATGAAAAATACAGTATCTTCCTGTATTTTAAAGCCATCTACTTTTCCGATAAGACATGTACCAATGCCGAGCCCAAAGTTATAATTTCCAACTATTTGAGTCCAAACAGCTGTAAGCATACAATGGCGCTGATATGCTGCCTTTGTTCACATCTAAAACTAAACATTCTCTTACACAGATAGACAAAATTAAAAATGTCCTATAGATCACACTGTATCTGTCTGGTTCACATGCATGATTGGCTATCTGTTCATATTTCCTTGTAGTATTCTGTCTAAATTTTATGTGGGTGACCCTTATTAACTTTGAATCATGAACATACTACTGGTGCTATACTCACAAGCCTTGTGTTCCTGACAGTCAAATGCAAGGGTAATATTTAGTTTAAATCAAAGCTATTTTCTTCCACATATTTTCCCATTCATAATTTATAACCATTCTGTTTTCTCTGATTTGAAACTTGTAATCTATACAATTGGCATGTTTTTCTCATATCATCCAAACAATATATCTGGGTAGTATTATAAGGTAAGCCACAGCAGTTTCCTCATATGTCCTTCCTGATTCAACAATCAGACTGACATAATAATATTAACATATCTGATTCAGTGCAACATAACCTCAACAGTAAATACAACATTGTAAAATATTAAAATTAAAAACCTATATGATATACAAAATGAATGTAATATCCTTGAAGATAAAAAGAGACAGAAACTAAGGCTTTTTGATAATTTGGTTTCAACCATATAATTTCAAGCAGATGAAGTGTTATATGGCTTGTAAACATTAAGCACACAATAGACTGAAATAATGTAATCTGTCATGTAGTTTTCTCAGTCTGAATCAAAATCAGAGAATTCTAAGATTTAATACTATTTGTAGCAAGATCAACTGAAGGCTGTATAACTGATCAAATAAAACATTTTACATTATACAGACCCTAAATAGCACAAAGACAAGGATGTGGGACATGACACAATACAAATACAATAATGAATACAAAAACGAATAAAAAACATAGTTGTAACTGCCACCTACACATTTCTTGCAAGAGTACTATATTATACAGAGCAATCATAAATATTTACAAGACTTAAGAATTCTTGAATATGTATCAAACACATCTGCCTGCTCAACTTCAGTGCCTGTGAACCAGTCCCAAATGTGTAAAAAATAATATGGTGAATACAACTACACTAATCACCCAGTCATTACATACAAATTAGGAACATTATGTAACTTAACCACTGAACTTATTCTGTTAACCATTGTGCACCTGCATTTGTATATCTTCAGTAACAAATAATCATGTGAAAAATGTAACATATTGTTAATATTTTTTTATAAAATTAATACACTCACAATAGCTTTTATAACAAATACTTACTCTTTAATTAAAATTAATAAGAACGTTGTGGGTAGCTGTTGAAATCTAGAAACAGCTATGACATTTCAAGTCATGATCGTAATACTTAAAAATCATAAATCCGCCTATCTTATTGAGTTCAATAACACTTCAATTGTCGAATGTAATATCAGAACATTGAAGAAATGACAATAAACATAATATCCAAATTTTCACCACACTCTACACCATCCCGTGCTAAATAGTAACAGTAACATACCATAGATGGCATAATCCATATAACCATGTTGTGTCATCTGTCGGCAGAAATTAAAATGACCACAATAAAAAAATTGAGAAAATTCACCTACCTGATTGCGTTCAATAACACTTCACTTGTCAACTATAATAACAGAATTTCAAAAAACCGATAATATACACAATCTCCAAAATTTCACTTCACTCTACAATATCCCGTGCAAAATAGTAACAGTAACATACCACAGATGGCATAATCCACATAACCATGTTGTGTCATCTGCCGGCAAAAATTAAAATGTCTGCAATAAAAAAAATTGACAGTGGAACCACGCTTCCGGTGAATCTGACGCAGCAGTAGCGTGAAGTGCGATGTGCCTTTATCTCTTACCTCAAACTTTGTTCAATAGTGAGAGACTACGATGTCCACCGGCAATGATAAATTTAATCAAAACTAAAATGGAGAGAGTGGAGGGCAGTATCACAGATTTCTTAATTATTCTTATATAAGATAAGTACTTGTGATATTCTAAAACGTTTTTAACAGCACAATATTATCTACTCTAAGACACACTTCTTCTACAAGCGATTCACAGCTCAGCTCTTTCCGCAGTAACGAAAGTGGATTGTTGACGGTGTTAATGAAACATAACAATGCCGAATAAACAGATGACATAACAATTAGTTTCTTAGGCAAAGGAGTGGATTGCAATACGGTTTATTCAGGCAATTATACAGCATGCATAGTAAATGAGAAAATAGCTTTACGGCATGCTCAGCCAATAATGTTGCAGGCGTGTGTTAGAAATTCGAATCCTTCTTTTCTTGCATTGTTATGCACGCAGGAGTATATATTAAATTTGAGCATATTTACACATTGTTGCTATGGATCTTACACATCTTCGTAACGCTGTTTTTGCCGAATGACCCTTCCGTATAGACGTATTTACGTCAAAAAAGGAGACGTTAGCCAAAGTTCAAGCGCTGTTTTTCGAACTTCGAAGCCATTGCGCTGTAGTGTAATTTAACTTGTATCTACAATAATTGTCTTCTTAAAAACTGCAACAGTGCTCCGGTGTAATTGTATCATATTCAAATAAATTTGTACCAGCTATTTTGTTGTAATAATTCCGTGTATGCAAAAGAAACCACTAATTTTTGTTCTGGGCGAGTTCAATATAATTAATACATTCGCATCATATTATTGTTTTTTTGTGTGAAAAAGGGGCGAATCTAAATTTGAGTAACAATTTCCTGGTAATTCCCGGTCACTAAAATTTAAACACGTGTCTGATTAACTTCACAGCAGTAACTAAATATTTGCTGTGAAACGTTATCAGGTTAGAACTATTCTCCAATCTGTATTTAAAGTTCAAGTAACCTCTGTATTTGTTGCATAACCGTCATATCGTGAGGTATTTCTTACTCTAAAGATTGAATGTCATAAAGAGAAGGGCTTCGTATCAGTACTCGTGCTCATTGCTTTCAACACTATACAGCGTGACAAATTTCCCCAGTTCTTTTATTTTTTTGGAAACGCAACCCTGATAACAATATGTGTTACATAAACAATAAAGTTACAAATCAATCATTATTGCCACTCTAAAACGAATAAAATTGTAACGGGCTAGGGAGGTGGGAGACAGGTAACTGCCTCCATGTACACCGTCGATTTCACGTGTTTACAAAAAATAATGGCACCAGAGATAACGATATATTAAATGTAATCAATCTTATGAGGAACTTCAAGATTAATTACTGAGAAACATCAAATGAGATATAAACCTAACATTTCAGTCCCTACCAATAAACTGGTAAGTATTATTACTAGATATGATAGACTGTCCAGGTGCATCGGTCAGTTGAATGTTGTAACCGTTCTTATTTGCGTGATTATAAAAAAAAAAACGAATTGAAAATGATGACATCTTTTCGATTAGTTCGTGAAATTTATAGTCGAATCTAAATAACGGATTTAGATTAAATTTATTATTGCTGAATAACAATAAAATGTAACAGGTATCAACTGAAAAAGACATTAAGGTCAGTGAAGTATGAATGATTACGAAGACTGCATTTGAAATATATGTTTTGTTAAAACGGAAATATAAATTAAGCTTTAAAACTATGTATTTGTATCTGCTACAAATTTACAAAAGTGATGATAAAAACACACGTGAAAGGTAAGTGCACTCCGATCAATATATACGTATATATTTACAAAGGTAATTGTTCGTTAACAATATCCTAAAACAAACCGAATCTTCCACCGGTAGCGTGGCCGAGCGGTCTAAGGCGCTGGTTTTAGGCACCAGTCCGAAAGGGCGTGGGTTCGAATCCCACCGCTGCCACTTTCTTTTTACATCAAATAATTATGCTTCTTATGTAAGTGACCGATTAAGTTAAATTTAATTTACAATATTTTTTCTGAGAATTATAGACATTTAAAACTTAATTTGTAAAATGCGACAAGAAGCTTGTAAAGCAAATGTTAGTTCGAGTTACTTTTGTAGCTCTATTTAAACAGATTGGCATAGATGAGACAAAATTTAGTTAAATGTTTATTTAAAGGAAGAAATAATTTTCAGTAATGGCGTTTATCCCGTCGGCCGCACTGAGGTGCGCATGTCGAATTTTAGAGCTGTCTTCTTTAACGAAAGGAAAGAGGTAAAGTCATCCGTAGCGTGAAACTAATATTCATCTACATCTAAATATTTCCTAATCTTCCGTTATATATGTAGGGATTGACTTAGATGCCCTAATTCTAAAACGTCGGTAGCATTACACAATAAGGATGCAAAATATTTATTGAATTTGTTTGTTATGTGTTTTAGTAAACAAGACTATGGCAAGAATTTTTTCCATTACGTTTCTCAAAGTTCTTCCGTGTAACGTGTACTGTGAGGATAGCAATGAATTTAAATCATTAGCATATTTATCCATTTCTGTTATTAACAAAAGAAGATTTGTTTGTCCAATGAATTAGTATCATGAGGTCACAGAGGTCACCCAAATTTATACTTTAATTTCCTTTCATCATCGATAAGTTACCAATATGACGGCCGTGAGAGCTTTTGGGGTGAGAGCGACACTACAGTTAGTTGATGTGGGGTCACAAAATTTTCCGTAGTAACACGGGTCTGAAAATTAAGTTATATATTTTTCGTTAAGATATTTTTTTATAAAATTTAAAACAACAACACAGCTGTACAGATTCACTTCGTCTTGATGTTAGGAAAATTTATCATATTTAAGAAATACTCCACTGTTTTGCCCAGGAAATCAAAGTTATGAAAATCATATAGTGTTTTCCACTCACGACAAATTTCTATTCACAATAAAATATACTCTTTTAAACATCTGCTGCAAAATTTGTTTTATAATCTACTGGGCCCCAATGCGAGATTCTGTGCATTGTCCAGAGTTCAGAAAAGAAACCATGATTAATCTGGAAAAACCGAGAAAGCTACAGAATATCATCATACAGATTAAACTGAAAAACAGTCACAGATCTATTGTAAATGGCAGCCATGTTAACACGTGGAGAATACAAAGGTACGCGTAAGGTGATTTATATGACAAGTGTTGTAAGTTATAAGGAACAGACCCACATATGCACACACAGGGACATGACAACAATACGATAGTATTTGTTTACTCGTAGAACAAAGAAATTGTATTAAAAAAATAGAAAATGTAAATTTTACATACGTAAAGTTTATGTAACACGCAAGAGAACTAGAATTAAGCAGGACTCATGCAGCAGCGAGGAATATGTGGAATGTTAAATCGTCTCTACCCTAAGTAAAAATATTCTCTAGTGAAACCTAAAAGACTCTGCCAACATTTTCCTTTTTCAGGCTCATGGAGAAGAATTATGTTTAGTTTATACAAGTATCCCTAACGCTAGGCTAAATAAGAGGTTCTCTGAGTGGATACCCTTTTTCGATTTTAAGGTGGAGATGACGTTAACCTTTTAGTAACAATATAAAATATAATCTATAACCTATAATCAACCATTAGTCCAAAATGAATACCACAGTTATAAAGTGTTGTAAACCTAACAGGCTATCACCACAAAAATCTTCTAGAACGAATCCCCTACATTTTGTGACTCACCTTAGTTCGTAAGCAGTGACAAATTATGTTTGAAACCTCGTTTTGCTTATCAATTAACTGACAGGAATGAGTGAGGGCAAGGGCTTCCGATAAAGGTGCACGGACGTGAGGTTTTATGACCAATGTCGACTGTGAATCCGGTTAGAGGTTAGCCCCCCCCCTCCCCCCACGTATTTCCCGGAGTGCGAATCCCCCACCGAACGGCACCAAACGTTGTACCTTGAATATCTCTGTCATGGAACAATAGCAAAGCGAGTGTAGATTTGGTCAGATTAAAAGTCGGTCGTGCCTCAAAGTCGGAGCAGGCGGCAGTGGTGCGGTGTTTATGAAACAGTTCAAGTTGAAAATATAAGAGAAGTGATTTTCATCAGTGGTTTTGCATATACATTCCTCTTAAAATCTTATCCTGCAAAATTACAGGTAAGCGTAAAATACAAAGTTATTAACAAAGTTCAAAGGGAAAAGCCATGTCGATGCCATACAGTCTGACGTAATAACAGAGTCGCTAAAATTAACCACAAAAACCAAAAAAGTTATATTTTTGTTTGTTTTCCACTACTTTATTTAACTTTGTACAGCAGATTTTAAGTTTTCATTTAATCTCCAGAAGTCCTCTTAAAAATGTTGGTTACATTTAATTCTTTCCCATATGAGATACATGACATCTGAAGTTCTCACGGCGGTAAGAATGACGATGTAACGCCCTGAAGAAGGAGACAGCATGTTTCTACGAATTCATAGTTCTACAGTATTTATGCAATGGTTTCGATAATTTGTGGAATAAAGAGCAATAATTTTTTTTAAACAGCATTAAGAATCTGATCTTTGTAGTGGTGAAGTGTTGTGTCGTCTTTCAGATAGGAACTAAGTATCTAAATTATTTATATGAGCTTCGAACTTAGGACCGCTGTTGTTTTTTTAAATATTTCTGGTTGTGCAGCATTTCTAATTCTTAACTTGACTGTGCACAAATTACTTCGTAATAAATGTTTAGGAAACAGGAACTCGACGGGGCATGAAAATACACGTAAACACGATATAACAGGAATATCCTGTTCAAGCAATCGTTGCCATAAATATACGAATAACAGCAGCATTTAAGGTTTGGTATTTCCTTCCTTATTTGAAATTCTAATGGCATGCTTCACTAAAAATGACTCGGATGTGGCTACTGTAGTATGGTTCTACTCGTAACAGATAAGATATCGAACACGTAGGTTAAATTCACAAGCACTTTGAATTTTCGTTATAAATGTTATTTCCATATGACAACATAATTTACGTATATACTCAGAGCATGATAATCTAATATTCTACATTCAACATTTTTAGCTGAAATAGCGTCGTTAAATAATAGGAATCAATCAATTCTATGTAGTCATCTTTTGCGTCCTTCGAATTCTGATGCACTGGTATAGAATTCGGATAAGGGTATTTGAAGTAATTTCTGTTGTGTGAATCAAAGTAATTTCCCATGTCGAAAAACAATGGAAATTATATGAAAATCGGCTTGTGTTAAATGTATTTACTTACCTAGTGGAAACAATACGCTTTTGTTTTGTCAAGTAGGTCCCGTGCACTCGATTGGCTTTTGTTCTTCGCGAGTACGCAATAAGGCCATTCATTTGTCTGCACTGACATTTACTCATCGTCTCATTTCATTCCTGAATCAATGAAACTCTGACTTCGAGCCCAGAATTACTGAGCACATCTAAGACTCGTGGTTCTTAAAATTTTCTGAAGAGCTTCAGAGGGCCGGAACTCCACCTACCTCACAATGTTCTGTATAGACAATAGTTTAAAAATGTAATCAATTATATGTTATTAATTACGTGTTTATTTGTGATGTAATAATTAACAATTCTATGTTGCATCAAACTTTTAAAGTCTGAAAAGAATTATATGAAACAACTGCTCCAGCAATAAATAATTTTGCGTTTGTCCTACAAAATTTATTTGTATTTTCTTGAGTCTCGAAGTAAACATCTATTATTTCTCTAAACGGCAAAAACTGATTTATCTTTGTAATGATATGGGTTGTGTGTTATTTTAGTTAATGTATGAATTTTTAAATATTGTGAAGGTCCTTGCTGCCTACATCATCAGGGCGATGAGCGCTATCAGTGCAATATTCCAGAAGATTATAATTTTCATACTTGCCGCCATGAGAAATTGAAATCTTACAAGGCGTAATACGTCTCTATTTATAATAAGATCAAGTGGTTAATTAGGTCTAATCGCTGTTTCTTCTGGGAGTTACATGAAACCGAAATTCAAGCACATTTTGTTACCACTAAGATTTAAAGGTTTTAACTCAATTGTATATATTACGAATGTCGTATAGTTTTGAGATGGAAAGAGCCAGACGGGATAACAATAAACCAGATTCAAACGTCTTTTGCTGAACTTTGCTTTAAGTAAATCACAGCCTGAATCATTTAAGTTTATTTTATCGTTTAACAATTTTCCTCGTAAATGATAAGAACTGAAGAGGTTAGGCCTAGCCCCTGATAATATTAATACCACCTGCACAGAAAAGTATAAGAATGAATATATATATGATAATGACCACAATTCGTAATCTCTGGAGATGAGTATTGCACTTTGATTAACTGGATACAAGAGATGTTGCCTCTCCCGGTCATTGCGATAATCTGAGTCCGTGATCGATTTCTTTGAACAAACAAGTGTAAACACAGATAAAATAGTTATTAAACAATAGGGTTATCGGGTAACCACGGTATATTTCTTCGTTGTGAAAGTCTATTCCGTTCAAAATACGTTCCACTTGACCTGATTTACTTCAAATGCAAGCAAACTACGTGTTTCAGATATTGTGACAATAGAAATTCCCTTTGTTTGAATACTCATGTGAGAGAAATTCTTTTCTCTTTATTTCAAATCAGTATCTTTAAAACTTCTTTCACGGCGGTAAGTACAAAGAAAACTGTATTTTGGGTTGTAGCTTTATATTTGGGGGGGGGGGGGTAACTATTTCGATTCTCAAATGGGCTATTTGAAATTCTGACTTTTCGTGGTTTTTGTAGTATCTACATACGGATTGCAGGTAAGTGCTTTGAATTGGCCACTAAAGATTCTGCTCCTCTGTATCGCCTATTAACGATTTTGGAAGCATTTCCGGCACCAAAAGTAACAATTATTAGGAAAGCCATGTTGACGATTAAACAGAACAGGTCGACCTTTAACACTTTCATTTAGACGTCATCAGTGGTAGCTATATATGTCACATCTTTAACATCTGATTACTCTAATTTTCCCACGACTCATGTTCATGGGTTTCTTATAATTTTTTTAGGAAAAAAAACGATTACTTCATTAAATAGCGTTAATCAGTTGATCTTTGTAATGGTGAAGTGTTCTGTTTGTGCTGATGTAAGGACTGAATTCTGAAAAATTATTTAGACGATTATCATGATTCAAATGGTCAAAGATAATGATAATATTCAGTGAAGTGAAAGTACTGAAAGAAAGCATATAAAAAGTTATGTTGGATTAAATTTCTTAAGGTTTGTGCCAGTGGTTAGACTATAGTTTTGTTCAACATCATCCATTGTCTGGGTTAGGGCTCTGTAAACTATGTACCAAGCCCGAATACTATATAGGCATAAAATTCCTGAAGCCTAAAATTTTTATTGCAGGTCTCAGGAATTTTTATGGGACCAAGATGGGAGTAGCAAAGACTGAATACGTATTATTTTTAATCAGTGGTTAAAAACACGCATTGTTTTATGTATATTTTAGGCTATGGCGAAGGGTACTCTTAACCAGTTAAATCTGGGTGTTCATTGTTCTTTATCAGAGTATTATACATGATGACACTGAACAGACTTTCATTTCTTCTAAGTACACAAGCGAGTGTGTAAGTACACGCAGAAGAATTCAATTACGGTCCATGTTAGAAGCAAAGTGTTACAGAAGCTCCCTCTATGACTGATAAGCACCTTGGTTCTAACAAGCCGTGATTGAGTACTTTTACTTATAGATGCTTATGAAAGAACGAAAACCTGTTAAATGTTATCATATGTAACACTTTTATAACCGCCCTCAATATGCAGAAGTATCTGTTTAAGCGTAACCTATGTCACAGACTGATATATAAATAAAATATTGCACATTTTTAACCACCGGCTGACTTGTGAGCTTAATGTTAGCAAATAATTCGAAACATCATGTATAACAGTGTATATCAACACCTCAACAATAAATAATTTTCAGCATGAATGCGGCACAATTGTGTTTGTACGTGTCAATACTTTTTTGTATTTTCAGATAAATTAAGATAGAAATCTGTCATCATGAACACCAAGATGGCCTCATCAAAAGAAAGTCTGTCTGTGATAAACATGGAGACCCTTAACATGTCTTCCACGTGAGTATAATGTTATTATAGAAAACTGATCCTAAATATTAAAAACAAATATCTGCACATAATTGTTCTGTAATAATTCTTTTGATTTTGTAACGCGCATCAAGTAACATCTTATCGGACTTTTCAAATTTGACACATTATGGAAATATTTGTTAGCTATGATTTTGGTTTCTTCATTACTTCTATACATATATTTTGTATAGATTTATTTACAAACCAAATAAAATTTTTTACTAACCAATTAAACAAATTTACTACAAATTTTGGCATGTGAATGTAGGTTTGCGTAACAAATTAACTCATAAATATATACACCGTATTCCGCTGGAAATTCATATTAACATATTCTGGAACACGAATAAATTTCCAGTGATTTTGAACAATGACAATTGTAAGCACACCAGACAAATTAATTCCTAAATAGTATTTAAAGGTTTTAATGAACATTTAATATAATTTTCGCACAAATTTTATGGCATTTAAAAATAAATTAAATTATTGCACAGTAGCTCATTTTATCGAAACCAGTAATTAAATAGTCTCTAAATTTTGTTATAATAAATACAAAATAAAACATAAGACTTACTTGGATGTTATATTACAATTTAGATTTTTATATTTCAGAGCTCAACTGACAGATAAGAAAAGTGTTAATGGCGATGAATACAATCCATTCGAACATCGCAATGTTGAACATCCCACTTCGTAAGTAAAATTTTCCATAATCACGGATTCATATACATTTGCCTCCCATACAGAATTTTATATTACGCTTTTCAGTTTAATTGCGTATTTAAAACAAAGACTCGATTAAACCGCAGTTGCATTACACATTACGCATCGCCTAAACTATATTAAAGCATTTGTTGTGAAGGAAACTAAATTACTTAAATTTCTAAATTGTATTTTTAAAATTTATTTATAAAAGATAATAATTCATATGTCTCTGTCTCAAACTTCTACTACTTAACATGACAACTTCGCACTAAATCTAAACATATAATAAAATCGGGAATAGCCTGGGAACTTCTAACAATAAAATGCCCGTTTCATCTCCAGAAATAATGTGCATCTTATTCATTTTTAATAGTGTTCTCTTTTCTTCCGCACTTTTACGTAATTCCCTCTTCTTGATTTAAAAGAAAGTAAACTCGATCTGACCAAGGCTACCACTCATCACCCCAATAATATCTTTGCTTTGATACTACCCCATCAGGAGGACAAGCGAGAAAAGCCTGGGTACCTTCTTCTTTCTTAAGCCTAAATAAAGTTTCACTTTACCTCCATGATTTTATCTTTGAACGTACTTTTCCTACTATTCTAACTCTTTGCCTCATAATGTGAGCTTCAAATGATTAAAGTACAAGTTCCCTTATTAATCGCTTCTTAGACATATATCTAACAAAGAACAAACAATGTTTTATCTCTTCGTGCAAGTTAACTATGCACTAGTCTTCATGTGTTATGAAACATTACTTTAAGAATAACACATTTTACACATTACACATACAAAATATGTTCAAAATTTCATATAACTACTGAATAACTATCAGCTTATTAAAGTTGGATAAAAGAGCTGTATGTTCCTTTATAATAAACGTAAATTCTTTCGTGTATATTTAGAGAGAAATTAAGTGAGCATTATGTCTGTGGGAGAATACGACAATAAAATTATAACAAATGTATGAGTGACTATTTTTTCTTAAACTCCTTGTGGTTGCTGTTACAGGGACATGGGGACCATGGTTCATTTGCTCAAGAGTAGTTTAGGAACGGGTGTCTTGGCTATGCCATTGGCCTTCAAAAACGGTGGAGTGATTTTCGGATCCTTGGGAACCGCAATAGTTGGACTCATCTGTACCCACTGCGTGTACATTCTGGTAAGTAGCTCATCATGGAGCTAACCCTCTCCGTGCTACGTACAAGATAACTCGCTTAATGTATCTAACCCATAAATATTAGGTCCATTAAATGTTTCACGGAAGTCAGAAACATCTCCTCCTATATAAATTTGTGTTTAAACTTAATGATTGTAAGTAACGAATATATTATTATATAAATAATATGTGAAAATATTTATGCAGTTTGTCAATAAATAGGCTGGAAGAGTGTGTACTGGATTTATCTGCCTCAGTAAACGATCAGTGTCGGGTTCCAGAAAAATGGGGAATATTTTTATTGGCTAAGCGACTGT